CGGCATGGAGAACAACAGCTGGTATACACCGCAGAGCTTCGATTAGCTTCAGCAAGGGCTCCTTCCGCCAGACGGTATCATTAGCTGAAGTGCAACAATGAGGTCACGGGTTCAAACCCCAATGTGGTCAAAGTTTACAGGGAGCAGAGAATAATTGCTATGCTCTGTACTCATCAGTGCAAGCTTGAATTCAAGGAGGGGGGGGGTGTCATAAAAGTTTCCAGTAAATTGCTGATTGCCAGCTCTGCTGCTGCGCTCCAAAACAAGGATGAGAAAGGTGATGGGTGGAGGACCGTGGCCAAGTCTCCCATAAACTTTAGCCAGATGACAACCATGGTAGTGCCGTTATCGAATGTTATACTGACTCAATATGGCCGGGTTACCAAAAAGGTTGGTGAAGTGTGGCAGACTGCCAAAAGTCAGCGATCAGGACCTACTTCACGCCTGCTGGCAGCTTGAATCGTAGCAGCAGGGTGCCCGCTATTGAGAATCGGCAAGAAGACGATGAACATACTAGTAAGCAACGGATTCGCAATCCGTTCTGAACGGAGAGGCAGACAGCACGATGCTACCATGCCAGATAAAGTTTAACGCTAACGATATCGACAGTGAGAAATTTATATATCTTCTCACTCCAAGGGAAAAAACGAGAACTAGTTGATGAAGCCGCAAGGACTAACTCGACATAGTTCGACTATCATTAACGAAGCGGCAAGGCTATACAATTCTGAACTTTGCGAGAGGAAGCTATTTCACTCAGGTGTCGGCATCGCGACACGTACTCAGACCAGCGTTGGTATTCTGGTACAACCTAACTTGGCTAACAACATCATTAAATGAAAACCTGTCACTAGATGAGTGGCAATCATTCACATGAAGTTACAATAGGATAAAGGTTCGACTTTGTTACAAGTCTACGCGCCTATTTGGAGGGAGGATATGAGGCTTTCTTGGAGAAAGTAGAAAGTGATTTGTATGAAGTGAGCTCTTTTTCTAATGATCTGCGTCTAAACATCAATAAAACCAATGAAGCGATCTTCGTGTTGTGCAGTACCAAAAATCCTACATTTTTCAACCTTTAATCACGCACCATGAAAATATGCGACAAGCCCGTTATTCATGTACAATACAGCAAGTACTTAGAAATCACCTTATCGGCAGACCTCACCTGGCATCGTGACATTCAGGAATTAACAATCTGGTGTTAATTGGGATAGCAGGGCATCGTTCCACGCGAAAAGAGAGGAACTTGCATGCACCCACGGAAGCAATAGAAAACTTCGTTTTGCACGCATTCTTCCCATTTTCACACATGAGTATAGTCTTTCATGGCTTGTGACTTTAAAGCCTCAATAAAATCACTTAGCTTGTACCAAGGTTCAGTTGTTTGTCTAAAATTGATCTGGCATCGCGTGCTGCCGCACCAGCAGTGGCTAACGGTATTAGCATGGGAAACAACATTTTTAGCAACTGCGCCCATCCCCTGCATGATAGCCTTGTGTCGCAGTGTCTGTCACGTAGAGCATTCACCAGACCACGATATGTCAATACCTACACTAGGACCGAGCTCTACCAGAAATCTGTTATCCCTGCCTCAGCGCACCTCCTCTGTGAATGCAACCGTCAGACAGCATCACCTAACTATGCTCAATTTAAAATAGCACTGCTATCTATTCGCTGTGTCAAACTATTAACTGTGACAGTCATGCATTTTTGTATATGCTGAAAACGCAGTTTCTGTTTGATTCCATTCAAGCAGTAAACTTTCAAGTGACGACAGGATCTATCATTCTAATGGGCGATTTCAACACCGATATCAGAGCAGACACTGAAAAGAGAAAGGCGTGAGTGAAAAGAAAGATCCTAGTGACCTTAACAATAACGGCGTCAAGTTATTGCAGTTTTGTGCAAACAACGGGCTGTTCATTATGAACACGTTCTTCGAGCATCGAAACATGCATCAGTATACGTCATACAGGGAAGCTTGAGTACGGAAATCGATTATCGATTTGACAATCGTATCGTCTGACTTACGACACTCCGTGATAGATGCCCGCGTGGCGGTGCATAGTTGTCAACTGACCATCTGCTTGTTGTCGACACCCTCCGCCGCCAGCGATGCAGTACCACACCAGGACCTGGCAGTGGAAGCAATTAGAGAATCAACTGGTAAACTTTATCATTTGCGAATACGAGAGAAAACCATCAAACAACACTGCACAACAGTGTGAACAGATCCTAGCATGACCGCTGACGAGAAAATTGAGTTATAGCGACCCTTTAAGAGCGGCTGACTCAGGTCTGCCATCGAAAGCTGCTCCTTAAAATGGCTTGACTTGTTGCCCGAGAGTTAGAAACGAAATTCCCGATGGACACGCGAGGTTCAGTTGCTTGTCAGCGAGAAGAAGGCTACATTTAAGTTGTGACTTGGAAACAAAAGGCCTTAACTCGAATGTAGGATGCAAGTACTGTAGAACTGCGCAAGACGGCAGCGAAAGCAGTAGTCAAAGAGAAAGCTGATTTTTGGGAAAAGTTTGGTGAAGTGATGGAATCGAATTTTAACATGGCAAACAAAAATTTTGGAAGACGATTCACCGCTTCTGCGATGGTAAGAAAGGAAGTCTGAGTTCTGAAGGAAACGTTAGGGCGCCTTCTTACCAAGGAAGCGAATATACTACGGCGATGGTGAGCAGCAGCAGAAAAACTCGTTTGAAAAACAGCAGACAACGAACATTCTTACATTAGACGAAGTCACAGAAGCTGCAAATCTTGAAAAGTGATAAATATGCTGGAATTGATGCTTTAAGCTTGAGGCAAACAAGGCATTATATGGCTAACACGTGTCTAAGAAACTGTAATAAATAAGAGGAAGACAGCGGTGGACTGGATAAGCAGAGCAGTAGTACCTGTGTTCAAGAAGAAAGAAAATAGGGACTGTTTCAATTATCAGGGCATTACCCAACTGAGCCTCCCAAGAATAGTCTACGCAAAGATGTTGCAAAGGTTGTGCCGCGAAACAGTTGATTCTAAGACACAAGAAGAAGAGTGTGGCTTTAGGTCAAACAGGAGCACCCCAAACTAGCTCTTCGCCTTACGCCAGATTGTTAAGAAATCGTGAGAATTAGCTCATTCGATTTACGTTGGCTTGTTGACCTGGATAAAGCCTTTGACTGGATCCCGTGCAACAAGCTGTGGGCGTGCCTGCAAACATACGGGATCGATGACAAGTTGCAACGAGCTATTCAGTTACTATATGCTGATAGCAGGTGCTGTGTCACAGTAAATAGCGTTAATTCGATACATTCCAGTGTTTGCACTGGACTCCGTAAAGGCTGCATTCTGCCCTATCCTATTTGTGTTTTACATGAATAGAATAGTAAGGCGCAACCAAAGCGATGAGTGCATCGGCATAGGAGATGTCGAGACGAGTAAGGTGCTGCTTACCGACGGCCTTATTTTGCTGTAATCTTCTGAAACTCAACTACAGCTCACTCTGGGAAGGTTTGCAGCCGAGTGCGACGTGGCCGGCATGCGCGTGAATGCATCTAAAACGAAAAACCTCATGCTTTCTCGTTCTCCTGCCTGTGACTCTCTTCAGATTAACGGAGAGGCAGTGGAGCAGGGCATAGAAGTTCAGGTACCTCGGGGCTGTGTTTACCGGTGATGGAAAAAGGGAGGAAGAGATCGACCGGCGAATTGGGATGGCCAGTGAGGTTCTGCGTGAGAGATTCTTTGTGTCCAGCCGCCGCATCTACAAATTGAGAAGTCACCGCTGCGATGGTTTGAACACGTCTTTCGAATGCCTCCAGAAAGAAAGGGGAAAGAGCAATTTCTTGCTCAACCAAATAACCGAAGACGGAAACGGCCAAGAATAACCTGGTGCAAGATTATCGAAGAATTTGCTCTAG